GGTCTTGAAAATAAAGATAAATAAAAAAGAGCAATGTTTTTTCATTTATTAACTTAATTAAAAATAGCGAAATTTCGGAGAAATGTGTACATTCACCATAGGTCACAGAGACAATTGATAAATACATTAAACACTTGTCAATATTTATCAAAACAATAAATCATTTTAGAAAATAAAGTAAAATTGTAATTTTAAAGATAAATAAGTTTCATTAAAAACTTTAAGTTGTCATTCTGACCTCTTTCATACCATTTATTCTAAAATGCTGTATAAGCCAGATTGTAAAACTCTGGCAACATATGCTTATGAATTCCCTTCTTGTGAAGTGCAAATCATTATAACCTATGATTTACCTGGTATGAGGCAAATTAGATGAAACATAAGATACTTTGTGCATATTTTCAGACAGCAAACAGAAACTATTTTCCTGCCATAGCCCCACACACATAGACACTCTAGTTTTACATACATGACAAAATGTGTCATATCCTCCAGGGACCTCTCCCACCTGTCCAATCCTAGATTATTTTCCTCTTAATGTATTTCAAATGTAATAACAATATTGTGCCATTTCTATCATGTGGCATTTGTAAAGGTAGTATATGGGAAAAATAAAACTTTTAAAAATGTGTACAGTATAAGATGATAAGAGAGAAGAAACAATATCATATAGTTGAAAAAACACTAGGATGGAATTTTGATCCTAGTTTAACAATGCTTGATCTGTGCCACCTCAGGCAAGCAATACATCTATAAAATTAAAGGATACTTAAAAGAGAAATATGTACAAAACGTATGGAAGTAATGGGTATAAGAAAAATCAATTTAAAAATTGAATGTTTTAAAATTTTTAAATGCTAAACCTAAGGAAAGATGTCTTAGAGAATAGTTCTCAACTCATTCATTCACCAAATGATGTAAACTGTTGGCTAATGATAGAGAACTGTTGGTGAAGTCCCATTTTGCCTTTATCTTTCTTGTTTTGCAGCCTACATAGACTTTGTAATCTTAAAACAGAAAAAAAAGGCAGGCACAGTTCAATACAAATTATATTAAACTCAAAAATACAGTTTTCAGTTACTATAATGAATCCAAGACCCTTAAGTTATATCCCAGAGTACTGAGAGAATTTAATGAACTAACTCATGACCTTGAACAGTATATCTTTGAGTCAAGATGATTTGGCCAAGATACAAGCTTCACAAGAACAAGAGCTTGTTAATATTGTTCCCTGATATACCTATAGCTTCAAGCATAGTACCTAACATGCATTAATGGCTTGACAAATGTCCCTGACAAAATTTCAAAAATCTCCTTTGCGGGCTTTTTTGTTGTTTTGTTTTAACATTATGGACACATAGAAAACTAAGCAGTGATCACTAGGAGGCAGCATCTGTTCACAAAGACCACCTGTGCCTACATATCTACTGAACCACAATAATGAGAGTAGGGCCAAGAATATTTAAAGTATTTCAGGTAATTATAATAAAGGTGGTCCACAATGACTACTGGGGCAAAATTGGGTTTACAGTTGTATGTGAAATAATTTATTTTTGTATTATTATTATTATTTTTCCACATGAACTATAAACCTACTTTTGCCCCACCCTGTATATGAAGCTTTGGGAATAGCCTTGATCGTTTAAGTATTTCTTTTAACTACGCTTTTGATAGGTACTTGAGAGAAATTTTGAGATTATACTTTGTGCAGATAAGGCAGTAAGGAGTACAAAGACCTGAGTCCTATTACAAGTGACCTCTTGTAAGGCGCCTAACCTTATTGAGCCTCAATTTTGCCGTATGTAAAATAGTCACTGTTCTAAGCACTTAACATCACAGCTGGCACATGGCATGCATTCAACACTATGTACTAATTTTGAAGGAGACGGCCCAGAATGCATTATATTGCCAGTTAAAGACTGACTGCTTTGTAACTTTGGCTACTACACAAGCAGTTTTTGATCCCATTATGGATTGTTTCCTTTCTTGTCTACGTGGGGAATCTTTTGTTACATGTCTGAGAAAAAATGTTGACATAGCCTATATTTGCATTAAATACTTAAAAGTTCTTATATCTCATGAGGTTAAAAATTCAAATTTTGTTAAGATGTTAAAGGAGATGCTTAAAGCAAATATTAATGAAAGTGTATCTATAATATCTCTTATTCTCTGGCATCAAGATTTGTACTATTTAAGCCAAAACTGTTAGCATGTAAGGCCATTTATCAAACTGTTTTAACATGAAAGCAATGTTTTAAATTATTTTAGATAGTATCTTTTCAGTTAAAAAGAAACAAATTAAGTCCTTTTTGAAGTTAGTTGCCATTTGCAAAATGTTTTAGTGAGAATACCATGCCAAGAAAAATTTGATTCATTAAGTTGGGTTTAGATAGTACCTGAGTCACAAAGCACAGAAGTGGTAATTATAGGTTAAAAATGATTTGAGCCTCCTTTATAAGAAACTGTCAGAATAAAAGTCTCATTAAAGAATATAAAAAATTTACCACTGCATATTAATGATACCATTTATAGTTATGTTTCCCTTACAGTGCTTTTGCAAAAGATATCAACTTGAGTTCGTTAAGCATAAAAACCTACCATGTGCACCCAGGAGTAAAGAACTGCATGCACATTTTCATTTATTTCCTCTACAAATCAATAAAGACAACCAACTCACACTTTGGGAATGATTTTTCTGACATCAACCAAGAAAATACATCTTTGTATGTCATTTTTTACTTCAAAATGATACATCATATTGGCAACTCATTACTGTGAGGGAGGGGGTCTCTGGTTTGTCTATTGGTTTATGTGTAATTTGTGTTATATCACATATGTTGGGAAAACATCTGACTTTGGACTTCATTTATAGATAGAATACATTTCTCTTGTCAATTGAGCTGCCTTTGTTCTTTTACTTGATAATTGGAATTAGTTTACCAATTTAAAATATCTTATCTATAATAATAAAAGCATAATATGCTAATGAGACTGGACAGCTGAATGACCTTCCGGACGTCATTCCAGAAGTCCTTCCGAACAAAGCTGTGGCAGCGGGGCTGAGGCAGAGGCGGTTAGGGGCAATCAGGCAGGCAGGCAGAGGCCTTTAGGGGTGATCAGGCAGGCAGGCAGAAGCGGTTAGGGGTGATTAGGCAGGCAGGCAGGCAGGCAGGCAGGCAGGCAGAGTGGCTAGGGGTGATCAGGCAGGGAAGCAGGCGAGCAGTTAGGAGCCAGCGGACCCAGATTATGAGAGGGATGTCTGCCAGTTTGGGATCGGGCCTAAACTGTCAGCCTGACATCCCCTGAGGGGTCCCAGATTGCGAGAGGGTGTAGGCCGGGCATGCACCGGGCCTCGTTTAATGTAATAGTCCCTAATTAAATTAAACTTGCCGGTTTTGCTTTGCCAATTTTACATTTTTACTTTATTACTAAATTGATCATGAAACCTAACACTACAACACCCAAATATTTATGGATGGCCAAAACTAGCTGATCTTCTTTTAATGGTTCCAGAGAAGCCCTGAACATCAGGACATCAACCAAATTATTCTGGGAGATGGTATTTGATGACCAATGAAAAAAAACACTCAACAGTTATCTCCTTAACAAGTTTTGTTTTTGTTAAACAGTGAAGCTATTTTCTTCTGAAAAATGTTTTGTGAACCAAAAAACTACATCTGTAAGAATTTTATTAAAAATTATGACCTAACCTTAACCAGTTTGGCTCAGGGGTAGAGCGTCGGCCTGTGGACTGAAAGGTCCCAGGTTTGATTCCGGTCAAGGGCATGTACCTGGGTTGCGGGCACATCCCCAGTGGGAGGTGTGCAGGAGGCAGCTGATCAATGTTTCTCTCTCACTGATGTTTCTAACTCTCTATCCCTCTCCCTCTCTGTAAAAAAATCAATAAAATATATTTAAAAAAAATTATAACCTAAATTGAAAAAATAGACCCCAGAACTCGTAATTATATATCATCCTTCTTGAGCTTGTATTGTTTAAGCCAAGGATCCAGCCTGCCAGTTAACTGTAAATGAAGTTTTATTGGAGCTCTGCCACACCCATTCATTATTTATTATCTATGGTTGTTTTCATGAGAAGCTAGAACACATAGACCATATGGGCCCTCAAGAGTTTGAAGTATTTACTACCTGCATCTTTACAAAAAAAGCTTGCCAATAGCTATTTTTAACACTTTTATTAAGAATTTTAATTTTAATTGTTAAGAATGTAAATATTTTTCCGGTTTTTTTTTTGGCCTAAACACGGGTTGATAATCTTTGTGGACTAGCCTGGATGTCTAAATATTACTTATAACATTGTTTCTATGGATTCTTTAAAATATGTAATCAACCAATTGTACAAGGAGTTTTAGAAAACAGCCTATTTGTAGATGAGGGGCATTACTTAACTCAAATAACCAACCAATGATAGGCCTGAAATGCTCTAGAAATCAGGTTTACAGTACTTTTTTTGAAATCAGGTTTATGGAACCAGTGTCATAGAAAGTTGTTGACAATAATAGTAAGCACTATTTCAACACAAACTTAAGGTTTATTTACTCACATTTATAAACAAAAAACTCCTCTAATACTAATAATTCCACAATTCTTAAAATTAAGAACCAAGATAGCTTTTAATACTATGTGGCATTAATTTTTTCAGATAATATACAACTTTGTTATAAGCATTTTTCCTTTTCTCAACCAAACACATTTTACCCACACTTCTAAAGTGCGAGGGAACAGCCCCCACAGCAGTGCAATAAATGAGGGGGATGGGGAGGTCACATAACTGGAAAGCAAGACTTACCTTCCTGTGACGTGTATCCTGCACTGTTATTGGTGGTATTTTATGCTTGAGTTACACAGCACACACATTTCTCTTTTCAACTAGTTTTCCATAAAGATTAAAATACAAAAAAATTTTTCTAAAAATTCTCAAAATAATCATTACATTTTCACACTATTTAATGGAAAAATAAAACCAAGCTACCAAACCTATGATTTAGACAAAAAAATCTTTATTCAACAAAATGTAAAAATATAATTTACATATCATATCACAATTAATCAATAGTCAAAATTGTACAATTACACATTTATAAAAATTCCACACATCATCCTCAGAATAATCAGTTTCTGTACAAAGATTTACAGCTGTCCAATGTATGTAATTTTTCCTCAGTGTGCTACTGAGTTCAGAGGTTCTGCTCGAATATTCCCCAAATCAAGCGCAGAATCTGTTTCTTCATCAATTTCTCCAATGACTGCACTGCAATTAGTTGAGGAGAAAAAAAGTCAGTTAAAACAATCTTATTTCTGAATAAAACTGAGAGGATCAAAGTAAAAAGAACTACTTAATTTGAAAACCAAACTTTCCATGAAGTAACAAAACTCAAAAAGAAATCATTGGAAGGCAATGTTATTACAGGAACTAATATTAAAGGACATATTTCATGTAGTGTGATTCAATCATATGATTTCAACTCTAGGAACTGTATTAGGGAGGTCTGAGAAGAGGGGAGAATCACAAAATCACTACTAAATAAGAAAATAAAGCATTTTTTACTTAAGTAACTGTTAGATTTGATAGAGCAATTGAATCAATACCCTTCTCCCCGGGAACTGGCTTTTCAGGCCATTTCACTATGGACATTCCCTTTGCTGAAACCACATTTCACTTGCTGCTACTACATTCCATTATCTCCCCTCCTGGTATGCATAAAGAAGTCTCCGCCCAGGAAAAGCCCGCCAAAAGTCCTTTAAAAGCCGCTGACTCCTGTCACTGGGGGCTGGAACCATCCAGGCTCAGCCACTTGATGTGTGGATAATCGAATAAATTCATAATCCCTCAACATTTTGGCCTTGTGCATTCCTCCTTCAGCGACCTACCAGTAATGTCAATGAACTAAATCCATAGGGGTGTATAATATTTATTAGTAACTAGTAGCCCAGTGCACAAAAATTTGTGCACGGGGGTGGGGGTGGGGTGGGGTGTCCCTCAGTTATTAAACATTTATCGGCACAACACTGACCACACTGGTGGTGGTGGTGTCAGAATGTGTTATATTATGCAGATGAAAATCTAATATTTAAACAGATTTGATGTGGATATTTTCAAAGATGGAAGAATTGTCCCTGTCAACTATTTTAGTTGATTCATATCTTCACTAATTGTCATCATTGCAAAGTTTTCAGTCCCCATATGGATTGCTGGATATAATAGGTCATGAGCTGTCCCTGTCCTTTGTAGCCTTTGTTACCTTAAGGACTCTAGTTTTCCATTTATATGTTTAAGTACTAACCTTACCGGCTTAAAAATGTAAGCTTTTAACACTGCTCTCTCTGTTCCGTATCCTTCCGATGAAAAGTGGAGTTGGGTTGCAGCACAGGAGAGAAATTCAGAAGGGGAATATTGAAGTAATGACTGCAGAAGAAGAGGGAACCTATTTCCCTGGCCATAGGCGCTGGTGCCCTGGACCACAGGGCTGGCAGCTTCTCCGGGTGGCTGCAGCCTGGGACCTCGGGCGGATGGCTTGTCTGTCTCCGGGGCTGCAGCCAGCCGCAGGCACTGGTGCCTGGACCAAAGGTGGGCGGCGGCTTCTTCTTCTGTGCTTCCAGGGAGGGCAGTCAGTTATGTGTATATGTGTGTGCATGCAAACATAGGTGTGTACACGTGTGTATGTGGAAATCTGCTGGGCAAGTCAAAACCATAGAAAAGATGCCCCCTATCTCTTGAATCTTCCAGAGATATCCCCCACTTTTTTATTCTATCACTACTGGAGAGTCAGTATTTGCAGCCAGCCAGTGACTCTTTCAGTGTCTATTTCTGACTTCTTCTTTCCCTGTCTGTCTTCCAACGCCTAGTCATATTTCCACCTGGATGCATCATTTTTACTCCCAATATGCTGTATAGAGAAGGAGTCACGATGCTGTCTTCCCATGAATAGTACTCAGCAACAAGCCAATTGCATTTTAGTTGGGCAATGCCCCTACCCACCCTTCAAATCCCTTCCACCATGCATTTCTGTTTCCCTTTTTGTTTGTTGGATTGTTCTGCTGCTCCTTCTCCTCACCCCACCACCCTTGGATCATAATGTAAAATTCTTTTACCATGTCAAGAAATTATTAAAAATACAGTTACTTTGAAAAAAAAAAATACAGGTACTTCTCCGAACACCAGCCAGGGGGCAGTGATCCACCCAGCTCTTGCCTGCCACCTGGGTTTCTGATCACTGTCAGCGGCAGGCAGCTTCTTCCGTCCTTCCCCTTTCACCTCCCAGCATTGCGTCTATGTATGAAAATTAACTGCCACCTTTGTTGGCGGTTAACCGCCATCTTTGTTGGCAGTTAATTTGCGTATCACCCTGATTAGCCAATGGGAAGCATAGCAAAGGTACAGTCAATTACCATGTTTGTCTATTATTAGATAGGATTGTCATGATTTCTCAGTTTGCTTGATTTAAATTCAAGAACAAAAAGTAGTTTTTTTATATACAAAAATAACAGGAACAAGTACTTAGGTACCTAACAAAATTATTTTTATGTGATTGACTATTTACAGCCAGTAAGTTTTCCCATGATTAAACACAAACATAATTTCATTAATGCTGTGCTAAGTAACAAAGCCATAGCTTTCTAGCTGGATATAGTTATTGTTACATCTAGACCAAGAGACATGTGTGAAACATTATCCCACTAAAAATAAATTGTTTAAATTTGTTTGGTTTTAATGAGAATAAATTCTTTATAAATGAACTAGAGGCCCAATGCATGAAAATTCATGCAAGAGTAGGCCTTCCTTCCCCCCACTGTTGGCACCGGCTTCCCTCTGGCACTCGGGACCCGGGCTGCTTCCCTCCTCTGACTGCCCGCAGGCACCTGGGACCTGGGCTGGCTTCCCTTGGGCCACCTGCAGGCATCCTGAACCCAGCCTGGCTTCCCTCTAGCCCCGGCTTCATCAGGAAGGATGTCCAGAATAATGGCCGGAAGACATCTGGTGTAATTAGCATATTACCCTTTTATTAGTATAGATACCTTCAATACAGAATTTGCCCAATTTTGCTTTAAACTTCAGTTCTCTAATAATGAAAAGTACTAAACTCTGGGGAAATATATTGTTTTCTCAAAATAAAACAAATCAAAGATCTCAACTGTACCCTTAAAAATTTAGCATCATTTAAAATCCTTATGGAAGACAGTGGGGTGCTGGTAAATGTTTTAAAACCAGCTTTCCAAAGAAAAAAATGGGAGGCTGGTTTACAGTATTTACTGACATCCATAGTGCAAATACTCCCGCTATACCCGATATCAAGCTACCAACAAGACATTATCAACCAGCTTACAAAACTGAAAACACAACAATCTGCTTTCAAAAGCCGGTATAAGCTGGTTTCAGCACCACTGTGTCTACAGCAAAGATCTACATTTTTTTAAATTGCAGTTCAAAAATATTTTTAATGTAGGAGATTCTTAAAATCAATTTTTATGCAGAGCCGCAATATAAAAAATCAGTGTGTTCTGGTCAGGGGACCCGGGCCCCCTTTCCTTAGCCTTTTTATTTTTTATAGCTCAATTTATAACTTATAATAGTCATCTCTAAAATTTATAAACCCCTGATTTAGATTAAAAATCCAGTAATTTATCCATCCAAAGATGATTTTCTTAAAATAATTCAAATGAACGGTATTCTTACATCTTCTATGTCCTACCTGTCCCCGCAAATAATGTGAGATGCTAATATATTTTTTGCTGCATTCCAGCCATGTTTTAAATCTATACAGTACTCACTAGAAAACTGATTCAACAATCTTTTAGCTGCTATAATGCACTAATACAGTAGCTACTAGCCACATGTATTGAATTATATTTAAATAAAATTTAAATTCAGTTATTCAGCCACACCAGCCACTTTCCAAGTACTCAGCAGCCATACACAGCTAGTACCTACCTTAGTGGTACCTACCTTAATGCAGATATACAGCATTTCCACCACTCCCACCCCAAAAGGTCTACTGAACAGCTTTGTTCTACATTGTTGCAGACTTTTCTTAAACTGCCCTATCAGTGTGTCACAAATTAACTGAGACCACAGCATTAACAAAGCACATACTTAGCGTGCCAATTATACTAAAAAATTTTTTTTAAATAATATGTACTTGTTTATAAATTCAGCTGTATTTATATAACAGGAATCATTTAAAATTGTTCATGCAAAATATTTCAAAGAAATTTTCAAACCTTAGCTTTGGTACCCTAGGAGTACTAGTATATTTATATTCCTCTGAAACTAAGAGGAATTTTGGAAGAACATTCTAAGCCTCCCTAATGAATTATTCAGTGTAAGTCGAGGTCCTTTCTGAACCCTATCCAGACCACTTAACTATTAAAAATATGGACAAGTCTCAGTAGATAAAAACCTCCTCTCCACATAGCAGGGCAGTACACCTATAGTATATTTAACCTGCCTTAAAGAAGACACATTTCACTTACACGTTGTCACCTCTTACGATGTACAAGCCTAGTACCACTTGTTCCACTCCCTGTGAAGAGCTGAACACTCGTTCATGGCTTTCATCCAAAATCAAATTAATGGTCTGGTCAAAACCTTTCAGTGTTCCCTGTAAAAAGAAAAGTTCAAGTATTCAGGTTTACCTGAATGTGTAAATTTAGCCAGACAATAATTTTAGTTGCTGGGTCCTCCTATAGAAATATAAAAGTCCACTGTAAAATATAATTCCTCTTTATAGTTAACAATATTCTGGCACAAAACTTACCTCTTGCTTTTTTTTAACTTTTTTTTACTAGATGTTTCCTGCATGGTTTGTCTCCTCAGTCACTGTCCACAGGACTCTGAGAAGTTGTAGGAATATGCAGGCGCAGACTCAAGGCCCGGCTTTCTCTCCAACATTGTGGAAAAGGACTGTACATCATGGGGCAGAGCCCTATGCTCCCCTACGCCACCTGGACAGAGCCCGGGGAGAGTGACCTCCCAGGATGTCCACGTTGGGATACCTCTTTCTTTTTTTAAGGGGTAAGATAAACTACACCACACATTTCATTAGTGTGCAGTTGTTTAGACTTACAAAGGACACCAATGTACCAGTGTATTTCCAAGAAAGTAGCAAAAAAGCCCATCCAGGAGCTAACATTCTAAAGACACAAACTAAAACAAGTGAAATTTAAGGGGAAATTATACAAGGCTGGGCGAAAGTAGGTTTACAGTTGCTCGTATGGAAAAATATATCACACAAGAATAAATTGTTTTGCATCCTCATGAGTGTAAACCTACTTTTGCCACCCTTGTGTGTGTATATATGTATGGAACCATATATACCAGCTATTGCAATGTAGCAGTATCACTTCATGCAACATACTACTACTAGACTTGTGCCAAACACACTGTACATATTATCTCAACTAATCTTTTCCTTTAAGTACATATATTTATTCCCACTTCAGAGAAGAAAAACTGAGGCACAGGGAGATTAAGTAATCTCTCAAGGTTTCTCAGGTAGAAAGTAGCAGAGCTAGGACGTGAACCATGAAAGGATAGCTTCAAAGACAGACAAGTGAACTACTATACTACTATGAACAAGCAAATATAATTCACATTCTTAAGAGATTCAGATAAGTCCCATAAAGATGTATAAACTTCATAAGATGTATAACTGTTCTTAACAGTTAACACAATAAATGAGTACTTTACTATTTGTCAGGAACTGTTCTAGGGGCCTCACACGCATATAGTTATTCAATCCTCCTATTAACACAATAAGGTAGATACAAACATGACTGGAATAATTAGAACCAGACCTTGAAGGAAATATACAGATAAAGTTTTAATGAAATACTTCTGATTTTAAATAAGGAAAGATATGGGCATAGCACAGCACAACAACTTGAGGCTATTCAATTTTTTGAAGAAACATTAACTTATATTTGTTTGGTTGTTTAAATCTCTGAAGCTCCCTATTGTTTCATGTTTTGAAAATCAAGATATATAAAATCAGAATGAAATAAAGAGAAAACAAAATATGGAGTACTGTCTATAGTAAACTAATTAGCAAAGTTATCACACACATACCTAGCATTTTGGCTTCATTTTACACATAACTGTTCTATCAAGTGTACCATGCCTCAAAGAAATGCAGAACTTTAGTACTCAAAATGCTGTTTTTAAATAGCTTCCCTTCTTTCATAAAATTAAAATAATTTCCCAATTCACTACATATCCTTTTAACAATAGAAAAATTTAAACTTCATGTTTTTGCAAAACAAAACAACTACTTGCAAGTATGTGTTAATAGCAGAAGGCTTCTTGAAGTGTTGAGATTAAAATATTTCAAACTGTCCTTGACAAAATATAAGGTGAGGTTACCTAAAAGAAAACATGATTGTTCTCTTGATTAAGAAGGAAATAAAGCCCCAATTGGATCTGCCACTTGATTACAGGTGACTCTGGGAAAGTGACTCACTTTTTCTGAACTTGGTGCCTAACCTAGAATACAAGGGTAATTCTTCTCACCCAGTTGTCCTAAAGATTAAATGATAATATAATTTAATAAATGGCAAAATCTAACACTCTGGTAATCTTCTAAGAACCTACTGAGAAAAATCACAAGAATTAAATAGAAAACAAAAAACAAAAGCAGAATTGCAGAATGGAAAAATGAGAGATTAAATTATATAAATTAGATATGGTTAGAATATAGAAAGTTTAGTAGCCTTAAAACTTTTTTGAAAGCAAACAGCTGTATGAATTATAAGTGAAGAAATAATTAAATAGCCAAAAATTATGGAATAAATTCCTCAGATCAAGGAAGAGGTCAAGGAGAGAATCCCAAATTTTTCTGGAATTAAAGGGGATACTGTGATAAACAGACACATGAGATTAAATAAATTTAGGGTCAATCATCATAATGTGTCCTACAGAAGAGAGAGGTCATACAACCTTAGAATAGTCAAAGAATATTAACACCATACACACCTTAAATGTTCCATACATGTAGTATGTTAATCATAAAAAAAGATTCTAAGAAGCATACACAAACTTTCAAAAAAATATGATTCATGTAGTGAATATCAGAGCACTGAATGAAAAAGGAAATAAAAACTGGAACAGAGCCCTAACCGGTTTGGCTCAGTGGATAGAGTGTCAGCCTGCGAACTGAAGGGTCCCAGGTTCGATTCTGGTCAAGGGCATGTACCTTGGTTGCGGGCACATCCCCAGTAGGGAGTGTGCAGGAGGCAGCTGATTGATGTTTCTAACTCTCTATCCCTCTCCCTTCCGCTCTGTAAAAAATCAATAAAATATATTTAAAAAAAAACTGGAACAGATAAATATGAAATACAGACAGATATCTGCATACTAGACTAGATGCTCTTTGAGGGCAGAATCTATTATTCACCTTAGCTTCTAGAAGCCTTTAACTTATATTCAAATTTGTTAATAGAGAAAAAAAATACTACATTCACAACATAAAAACAAGGTTCTAACTCCTCCACTTCCTGGTGATAATTACACAATTAGAAAAGGAAAAAAAATAGAAAAAGAAAAATCCTTTTCTGTATGTGATCAGGGTAACCTTTGAGGCAGAGCTGAGTCACAGGAAAACCGTAATGCAGGAATAGAGTAACACTACAGCGCCTCGGCATCACAGGTCCGGGCTTCTACAGAAAACCTTGCAACCAATAAGCCTCCAAGAGAGCAGAGAATGAATGAATATGCCCAGTACTCACCACTATCATCCTCCCATCCGAAGTAATCACAGCAACAGTTCCTGGTAACTGAGTCAAGGAAAGCATTTCGCAGAGAATGCAAGCTGAAACCTTAGAACCTGGTAAGGAAGTGGTTTGCATCGCTGGGGGAAAAGGTGACAGAATTAAGAGACAGCTATTCAACACACACACTACCTTCACAACATAAAAACGTGAAGTTTCTAACTCCTTCAACTCCTGTGGCCATTAGAAAAGGTAAAGACAGAAAAAGAAAATCGGCGTCCGTATGTGACCAAGCATAACCCGTCTGTCCCAGAGCAGCCGGGATGTGCGGTCCTCTTTCCGTCTGGGACCTCGGACTCGGAGCAAGGCACGCCCCCTCTCCTAGACCTGTGCTCTCATCTCTAAAACCAACATGGCTTCGGGCTCAATTAATGCCGAGTGATTGCTAGCGTGAGAAGGCACTGTCTTCCAGGACGTGGCTTCTGGAATTGAGAAGAAAAGCTGTAATCACAGGAATAAAGGTGCTTTACAGCATCACGTCTTGAGTATTTCACTCCCCCCACAATGTAGCGTTTCTGCCCCGAGATGTTAAGACTGTCAACATGCACAGCGCGCTAGGCGACCTCCCGGAGGCTTTCTGAAGCTCCGTGTCCCCTGCGACACTTCCCTTTTATCCACAAAGAGGTTGAGACTTCCGGTGGTAAAGGGGCCGGACAATGAGCAAAGCCCACGAATAGAACAAGTGCAGCACATGGGTTTACAACAATATCGTCATCGGTAGGACGACTGTTCCTTTTATTCCCAAACTTCACGGCCCAGGCCCTAGGGAAGTAGGAAGGATGAATAAATCGATGACTTCCACAGACAGCGAAAAGTTCAGAATAATCACATGCTTTAAAGGTTAAAATGAAACGGCGCATTGGGCCCATAAGAGCCGCGGGCGCGGGATTGGTGGGTCCCAGATCCTTCACCCCCCGAACCCGGGTCACGCAGTGGCCGGAAGTCCCAACCGCCCGCCGCCTCGGCCCAGGCCCTCTCCGGTCGAGCGTGGGCCTCTCACCGCGGCTCCACCGGCGCCGGCGGCGGCCGCCAGAGGATACGGTTGATGTAGTTCTCCAGAGCGGAAGTCATGGCGCTCGGCCGACACTCGGTGCAGCGCAGAGGCGCGGGCGACAAAAAGAGCTGCAGCAGCCCCAACAGCCCACTAGCCGCCCACAGCAAATACCGCGAGAGTTCCCACACCGCGGCCTCCGCGAATCAGAGACGGAGAAACCAGCCCATCGTACCCGTGAGGCCAAGCGGCGCGAGTTCCGTGCGCGTGCGCAGTAGTTTTCCGCCCATTTTCCGGGGGGGTGTTCTCAGAAGTCGCGCGCCGTGGAGGTCGGAGGGGGAAGATGGGGTCGGAGCGTGAAAGTGGGAGAGCGAGGAGTTTCCCAGCGGAGGGAAAGACGTGGGTAGAAAGTACTAGGGGAAAGTGTTGAGGGAAGACAGGGAAAACGGAATGAGATGAGTGCTGTTCTGTGAAATGTAGGCGCCGGGGGCTGGAGTCCCGCCTTCCCCCACAGGGGCCGACAGTCTTTTGGAAGCTGGATGGCCTGGGACTGAGATAAACACCCCGACAAAAAGCAGGTTCGCGTATTCTGCAAGTGCCTCTAAAAGTGCTCCAACTTGGCGGCGTTTTTTATTCACTTATTGTAAGAAATTGAAGCCAAATTGGAAAGGTGTGTGAGACTCCCTTAGGAGCTATGGCTTTTTTTATTTTTATTTTTTTTTTACAAAATCTCTGATTTCAGTTAGGCTTGTGATTCCTTAGCCGAAGAAGAATTGTGGGTTTGAAATAACTCTTGCAGTGTCAGCAGTTTTCTTCTGAAGAGTGAAGCATCTGTTTTCATCACAGCGTTCCCACAAAATTGTCTGCAGGTCACTCCCAAATGGTTAATATTTCATATACTAAACCGTACTGTGATCTGTTTGAGACCACCCATAACCAGGAACACTTACAGTACATGTAATAAGACAGGCGCTCTGCTGGCAGTTGCAGCGAGAGCAGGTTCCTAAGGGAGCCAGGCCGTCAGTGCGGCTGGTGGCTGCAGGCACAGGGGCTGGCCAGCCAGCAGCCGTGGAGCCTGCGAGCGTCACTCTGTTGTTTGACACCGGTGTCCGCAGGGGCCCAGCTTTCCTGTGTGCCTGGGACATGCTGTGTGGCTGGCTGTGTAACTTCTGCATCTTGTCCTCCGGCCTCTCTCACAATTAACGTGGGCTACTCAACATCCTACAACCAACACCCATTGAGTGTGATGTTGGTTGTAGGTTTGTCATATGTGGCCTATATTATGTTGAGGGAATAACCCCTCTATTCCCATTTTGCTGAGAGTTTTTATCATAAAAGGGTGCTGGATTTTTAGCTGACTTCATTTTTCCCATTTAAGTATTTATGTTACCATGCATTCTCTGAGAACTGTTGTAAAGTCAATCTACCATGAGCCTTGAAGTTCCCTGTACATCCTGGGTATGCTTCAAATGCAAAGTTGTCATTACGCTTTACTTGGGCCAATTGTATGTCCCTGTAACTCAGTTTCTAGGTAAACAGGTGCATAAGAATACACATTTTGCAATTGTCTCAAAACTACTTCATTGTGCTTCAGTGACTTTCTGTTATTGATATGTGCCATCTCTGTTTGAGGTTTTTTTCTGGAACCCTGCCTATCTATTTGTGGCAGGCTAGAAGTGCTGGGGAATTGGCACTCTTAGGGAGTGGTCTTCAGTGAGTGGCAAGGTAGGTTTATAAATATCCGAGCCCTTCTTCAACTTGGTAGAATAATTCAGGTGGGATATCTCCAATGTTTCAACATAGTGCACCTCTAATAGATTATCTTCCTTTCCTTGTAACACTTCTCTACTCCTTTACTGGTTTTCCCTAAACTACTTGCACTTGGATTCTTGTCCCAGGGCCTGTTTTTAGAGGAGACTCAAACTAAGATAGCATGAGTACTTCCTTTCAAAGGGATCTGCATCTTACTTGAGTTTGAGGGTATCTGTAGCCTAACCCCAATTCTTGTCATCATCTAATATCACTAGGTCATCTTTTATATGATGCAAAGGAGGATATAAGATTTTTGCTCCCCTCCATAAGTCTATATAGGCCTCTTTAAATAACTCTAGGTAAGCAATAACTGCTACCACCAAAGTTGGTTTAAATGGGTTGTTCACTAAAAAAAACCCAAAATACTTGTCTCTGGTAGAACATAGCCAGGTTGTTGCACTAAAACTGTGCAACAGTGAGGCTCAGTGACATAGTAATAAATGAAGCTCAGAAATGACTCAGTTATCTGACTGTGGCACAGCAAGAATTTATTTAGTGGTGTTAGGGTAAACTATGGAGACTCCCTCATTAAGTCTGAAATGGTATCAGTTGCAAAGAGTGAACCCACAATTCAGAGCTGTTCTGACATGCTGACTCCTCTCTCTGGGGGGATGAGATCCCCCAACTCTGGGTGTGCCTCCTAGTTATTGCAGCCACTAGTCTATATTCTAATCTCATGTATATCGTTTGCCCTGCTTGCTTTCTGCTTCAAAAGCAAACCAAAGTGAAAGCATTCTGACCACAAACACTGACCAGCCTGTGTCTGGCCATAAGTAGATGCCACCAATAATCTATGCGTCCCCCTAAACATAGTGGATTCTTCAGGTTAACATTTGACAAATCTGAACTCACCTTCCACCCCAATAACACAGTCATCTAGTAGCATTCAAAATCCTGGGTGATTTTGGTGGTGGAGATGAAGGTTTGAGCTATACATGCCTCTTTCCTGGAGTAACAAGATATGGTGAACCTGCAAGGGCCCAGAGCTTACAGAATAAGTCACTCATGTTGGCATTTCCAATATTAGTAGCAGTCAAATACTCAAGCAAAATGCTTTTACAGTCTTCCTTAAAATCATGTTGGGATGGTAATAGGTTAATCCATCTTTTTGTGAGACTCTTTGTCATATTCCCTTTCTGAGTCCTGGGATTTCTTTATATACCTTTCTATTTAGAAGACAGTCTTAAGACAGAGTCTCCAGAAGCACACCTTGAAGCAAGGATTTATTTATATGTCAGTGATTTATTACAGAAGTGTTCCCAAGAGAAATCAGTAAGGAGCTGAGAGAAGCAGGAAGGGAGAGGGAGTCCATGCTGCATTTGCAGACTAGCACTTACCCAGGCTGACCCCGCAGGCACTTATATAATAACAGCTCAGATTTCAGAGGAATGCAATGTGTGATTGGATGCTGCACAGTTTAGTCCTCATCTGAGGCAAGGGACTTGGGCTTCTATAACCCCCACCTTGCAAATCCTGGGGTTACCTGGAATGGAAGAGGCAAACTTCCAGCTCTTGGTGAGGGAGGGCAATGCCCAAGTAGTCTAAGGGTGCTAAGGGTGGCAATATTCTGGAAAAGAGTAGCAGATCCTGGCCTCATGAAGCAAAAACTAATGAAGCCAGGAGAGGTGCACAGAAACCATGAAGACAATCTTAGAGTATCTGGGTAAAGCTCTGATAGTGTTCACTTCAGTGAATAATTCAATTTCTAGTCCTTTAAGTTTTGGGTATATTTGAAGTGAGAAAATGTTAGGAAGGTCAGAAGATAATTCCAATTTTGTTGAAGATATTTTCTACTTCAGGTCAACAAAGTGTACAGTTAAGACATTCACTTGTAATTAAGGCAGTTCTTTTGTTATATGGGCAGGGGTAAGAAAAGACCTATAGAGGAGTATTCACTGTACAGAAGAATTTTTTTGTGACATTAACAAATCCTTATATTATCTGAAACATTTGTTTGGACACTTTATTGTTGAACTGTTCTTTATTATATATGAGAGGCTCGGTGAACAAAAATTTGTGCACTCAGGAGGGTCCCTCAGCCCGGCCTGTGCTCTCTCGCAGAATGGGACCACTCGGGGGATGACTTCCTGCTGGCTTAGGCCTGCTCCTTGGGGGATTGGGCCTAACCTGGCAGGCAGACATCCCTCTGGCAGCCCGGAAGCCTTTGGGGGATGTCCACTTGCCAGTGGGGAGCAGGCCTAGCTGCAGTCGGACATCCTTAGCGCTGCTGAGGAGGTGGGAGAGGCTCCCACCACCACCGCTGTACTGGCAGCCGTCAGCCTGGCTTGTGGCTGAGCAGAGGTCCCCCTGTTGGGAGCACACTGACCACCAGGGGGCAGCTCCTGCATTGAGCGTCTGCCCCCTGGTGGTCAGTGTGTGTCATAGTGACCAGTCATTCCCAGTGTTTCTGCTGTTAGGGTCAATTTGCATATTACCCTTTTATTATATAGGATAGAGGCCTGGTGCATCGGTGGGGGCCGGCTGGTTTGCCCTGAAGGGTGTCCCGGACCAGGGTGGGGTCCTGCTGGGGTGCCTGGCCAGCCTGGGTGAGGGGCTGAGGGCCGTTTTCAGACTGGCCACACCCCCTTCAGGGTAGGGGTCCCCGATGGGGTGCCTGGCCAGCCTGGGTGAGGGGCTGAGGGCTGTTTGCAGGCTGGCTACAGCCCCTTCAGGGTGGGGGTCCCCACTGGGGTGCCTGGCCAGCCTGGGTGAGGGGCTGAGGGCTGTTTGCAGGCTGGCCAAGCCCCTGAGCGGGAACCCTTACCCCATGAGGGCATGGCCATCCTGGGTGAGGGGCTGATGGCTGTTTGCAGGCTGGCCACAGCCCCCAGCCACCCAAGCTCCCAGTGGAGGCTGGCTGGAAGCAGGTATCTGGGATTTATTTAGCTTCTATAATTAAAATTTTGTTGCCTTTTGCAGAGGCCACAGCCGGCCAGGGCAGGTGGGAAACTTGGCTTACTCCATCGCCGGGGCAACCAAGCCTCCTGCTTGCTCCAGCTCCGTGGCTGCTGGCCACCATCTTGTTTGAGTTAATTAGCATATAGTCGCTCTGATTGGCTGGTGGGCGTGGCTTGGGCATAGCAAAGGTACAGTCAATTAGCATCTTCGTCTTTTATTAGTGTAGATGTAATTCAAGTTTGCCTAGTGTTGTCATAGCTTGAAGGCCCAAAGGCACTTATATAATAACAACTCAGATTTCTCTGATTCATGCCTAATCTGCCTCATGCAGGATTTCCATCCCCCATTTAGAGTCTTCCAAGTCACTTCTGGGAGTCCATCTGGGATGTCTCACAATAACTCACCAAGACTCTTTTCTCTTCTTCTGTTCTAGATTTAATTATTGCTCATGCAGCATTGAGAATTCTCTTCAGGGTACCCTTTCTGCCA